GTGTGTGTGTGTGTGTGTGTGTGTGTGGCCAGCTCAGCCCACCAGGGGGCGGGGCTGGCTGGCACGTGGTGCTGGGGGATTGAACCATGGTCCCTGTGCTTTGCCAAGCTTGTTCCAAGTAGGTGCTTTAGACCACTGAGCCATCTCTCCAGCCCGAGGTTTTCTTTTTTTTTACTGGATATGACTTACTTGATTCACACAGCTTTAAAACTACAACTAGTAGCCGAATCTCTCTTTGTCAAATTCTTACATTTATACCTCAGGATGCGTTACTTTTAGAAATTGGTCTGGGGATGTGGCTTAGTGGTAGGGTCCTTGCTAGTATGTATGAGACCCTGAGCTAGATACCCAGCACTGCTAAGAAAGGAAGGAAAGGAGGGAGTGAGAGAGGTAGTATGTCTGTTTAATTGAATTTAATATAATAGCTTTTCAGAAAAAAATCCTGGGCTAATTAGGTAGTGTTTTTTTTTCTTTATTTATGTGTGTGTGTGTGTGTGTGTGTGTGTGGCCAGCTCAGCCCACCAGGGGGCGGGGCTGGCTGGCATGTGGTGCTGGGGGATTGAACCGCGGTCCTGTGCTTTGCTAAGCTTGTTCTAAGTAGGTGCTTTCGACCACTGAGCCATCTCACCAGCCCGATTAGGTAGTGTTTTAAAGCACCATTTTTGCCTTTTGATCTGGCAAAGGTGGCTGGGTGCAGCTGCAGATTCTCAGGCCAGTACACATTTTGAAAGGTCAAAATTCAAGGGTCCAAAGAGATATATTAATTTTGACCAATAAAATATCTTTGCAGCACCCACTGACACAGAAGGCAGCCCTGCCACTTGGAGAATGCACTAATGACGTAATTTCTATTATGAAGTAATGTGAGGTCAGGGCCATGTGCTCTAAGTAGAAGTGTCAGGGGGTCTTGCACTCGTTTGTGCACCTTGTGCCAGAGGTGGGGACCCTGGCTGTAGGCGCTGTCGTCCAGTAAGTGGACTCCAGTTTGTGTCTTTTTCTCCAGCTCTCACTGTGGGGAGTATGAGGTGTGTGCCGCAGATGTGAAGCACGAGGAAGCTTTCTCTTAAACCATTTCATGAAACCACATTCATTGAATACAGTTTGTATGTAAAAGGTTTTCTACAGCTTCTTTTGTCATGAAAACAAGAAAATCTCAGTTTTGGAGTGCCTCCATGTCCTTAGGAAGTGAGTGATGATTTCATTACTGATCGTGGAGCCAAAGCGAAGGCCAAGCAGATTCCTGAGGAATCGCGTCTGGGCTTGGGGCTGAGCTGGCACACGCGCCTTGGGGGGCTGAGGGCACTTGCTGGATGATGGAAATTGCTTAAACCGGAGTGCAGCAGTTAGTGCCTTGATGGAAATTTGCTAATTATACTGTTAGTACTTTTGGAAAGGGAGTAAATTGTTTTATTGAATAGCTGTTTGTTTTGCTTGGGAAAAATAATGTAAATGACCGTTCGAGATTTCCATTGAGTGAGTTTGTTCTGAAACAGACCGTGGGCTCACAATTTGTCAGAACAGTTCAAGAGGGACGCTATTTGAGATGGCATATTTAATTCAAACATGGACGGTGTACAGGGCCTATTTACTTTGGACTCTTGGTGAATTTTAAGGTGAGAGGAGTAGCAAGCAGGTCAGTAAATCAGGGAAGGCAGTGGGGAGTGATCCTGTGCAGGGGAAGGAATTAGGAAGAATGTTTCAAGGGAAGTTTCGTTTTTTTCCAGTGTTAATGCAGCATTTAATCACAGAGCAGGACATACACCCCTTGCGAACTTTTACTTTCTGTTTTGCAGGGCTGTGCTGCTTCGGCTTAGGCAGGAGGGCTGCAAGTGGCAGTGTCTGTTAATCACAAGGCCTTCCTTTCTCAAATTAAGCACTTTGAAGAACAGCTCACTGGAGTGGGGCGAAAATGGCCTCAGACCCTAGTACAATTTCAGCCAAGCCACCACAATGCTCATCTTTTGAGAAACTCGGGGAAATGCAGCCTCTTGCTGCTGCTGCCTCTCCCGCCCCAGAGGACTTAGGCCACTCTGCCACTAAGAAGCCACCAGTGCCGATGACCACCAAGAGCCCAGGGGCCGCTTCACTGAGCACCTTTGAGTATCAGGAGCTGTGAGATAACCTGGTAGATGAGTGATCTTTGGAAGCAGTGGAGTGCGACTCACGTTTCCATTTTCCTTAACCATTCTTCCCATTTCTAAAGATGTGCATCATCGTTGTATGAGTTACAGGAATGGTAGAGATGAGGTAGGGAGTTCTTTCTTTTTCCCTTTCCCTCGTCTTTTTGGAAAACCTTAAAATTTTCTCTAAATCTTTTCTTCTGTTAATGTTTGCTTCATCTATACTAGAGGGAATGCTGGATTTTTTTTTCTTTCAGCATCAAGTCTTCAAATTTTATTGCGTCTGAAGTAGTATAATGCATGCCGGGGAGATAGCTCAGTAGAATAAGCACTTGAGGGTCCTGAGTTCAATCCCTGGTACTGCTAAATAAATAAATAAATAAATAAGAGATAGTATAATACAAATCCTTATAAGTCAGATTTTGGCAAAAAGGACTTAAAATGCTGGATATTTGTCTTTTTTTTTTGGAACAGGGGATTGAACTCAGGCCCTTGCGCTTGCCAGGGAAGCACTTATTCCACTGAGCCATCTCCCCGGCCCCAATGCTGGATATTTGTAATACAGGGTCACACAGTGATGCTCTGGGTAGCAGTGTCTACAGTAATGGGAGTAAATATATTAAAAATAACAAAATAGAAGCCAGGTGTGGTGGCCATGTCCATAACCCTAGCACTCAGCAGGCAAACCCTGCGTTACACGGACTGCTGTCACTGCCCTGTGGGCCTGGCTCTGCTGGGCAGGCTCTGAATTGGGTCTGAGTTGTTCTCTGGCTTCCCATTAACCCTTTTTCATTCCAAGATCTCTCTAGCATGTGCTTCCCACAGTATCTGACTTGGGACCCAGTTCTTATAGAAACTGATGGTCTTTCTAGAAAATGTAGAAAATTCAGAGAAACACAGAATAATTTTTAAAAATTACTTGTAATAGTTCCACTAGAAATATCTAATGATAATAGCTTATCTTGAGAAACTTTATTTTTTTTATTTTTTATTTTTTTGGCAGAACCAGGGATTGAACTCAGATCCTTGCGTTTGCCAGTCAAGCGCTTATCCTACTGAGCCATCTCCCCGGCCCCTTTTTTAAAAAATTATTTATCTTTGCGATACTAGGGATTGAACTCAGGAGCTGGCGCTTGCCAGTCAGGCGCTTATTCTACTGAGCTCTCTCCCCAGCCCCAACAAACTTTAGAGACGAGCATAAATATTCAGCCTAATTGATTTTTCATAGAACATATCTGTGTAATCAGTACTCAATCAGGAAATAGCGTTTGACCAGCATTTAGGAACTCTGTAGAGTTACCAAAGGTAATTACTATCCTCATTTGTAACAACATAAATTAGTTTCACCTGGTTTTGAATGTACTATAATGTAATCTTGTATATATACACTTTACCTAGCACAGCATCATCTGAGATCTGTTAATTCTTTATACCTGTCATTCTTCTTGGCTCTATAGTATTCCATCATGTGAATGGAATTCTGTTTGTTTGTTGTTGTTGTTGTTGTTTTTCCAGAAACGGGGATTGGACTCAGGCCCCCACACTTGCCAGGCAAGCAATTATTTCACTGAGTCATCTCCCTGGCCCCGTTCTTTTGGATTTTTAAGACAGGGTCTCACTATGTAGTTTATGCTGGCTTTGAAATCACTTTGTAGCTCAGGCTGGCCTTAAACTCCTGGCAGTGCTTGTCCTTATCTTGTCTTTTTTTTTTTTTGGCTTTTTGAGATAGGGTCTGGTTTAGGCTGGTTCTGAACTCACCGTAGCCCAGGGTGCCTTCAACCTTAAAATGATCCTTCTGCCTTAGCCTCCTGGTATGTGTGCCACCATACTCAGCCTTTTTGTGTGTGTTTGTAGCCCAGGCTGGCCTTGAACTAGTTGTCTGCCTGCATCGCCTCCCGAGTACAGGAGTACTGCCATGTGCCTCAGTGCTATTCTGTGGTTGGTGGGCATCTGCAGTTCTGGTGTTTGGTTTTTTTAATTGCCTGGGCTTGTTACCATATTTCCTGTTGATATATTGCCTTCTTTGGTATTTTATCCAATTAATTATCCTTTTAAATGAATCCTTTTTAAAAAGCTATAAAAAAGCTGCTTTATTTTTGCAGTATTAGAGAGCAGATGTGAACATTGTTTGGTTTTGGTTTGTTTGTTTGTTTGTTTTGAGTTTTGAGGCAGGGTCTTGCTATGTACCTCAAGTTGCCCTTGAAGTGGTGATCCTCCTGTCTCAGCCTCCCAAGTGCTGGCATTACACGTGTGTTCTACCATGCCCAACTTTGAAAACTCATGCTCTTCACTTTTTTTTTTTTTTTAAAGACAGGGTCTAGCTTATGTTCAGTCAGGCCTCAACTCACTAGGTAGCCCAGGCTGGCCTCAGACAGTGATCCTCCTGCCCCAGCCTCCCAAATGCTAGAGTTACAGGTGCGTGCCAGTATGTTCACCCCAAATTCTTATTTCTCAGTTCATATTCTCAGAACGTTACCACATTTTGTAAGACCCAAAGTTAATCTTCTAGAGTTGAGGGCTTGGATCATTGTGAGTGGCCAAGAGAGACTTCTTGCTCCTCCCACTGTCATCTGCCAGCTTGCCAGCTCTATTGAGGTAGAGAAGTTATTGTAGAACAAGTTTCCCAGTGGTAAGCTAATGCTAGGTAGACTCAGCTGCTGTTTAGTTTTCTGGAGAGAAAAATATGCATGAAGTCTTTGTGGATGGGCTTGGTATTTGAGCTCCACCCTGTTAAATTAAGATGGCCCACACCAAGTGTGGGAAAGTGCTAAGAAAAGATTGCATGCTGAGAGTGGAAAGGAAATCCCAAGCAGCATGGCGGTTGAGTTGTTTCTGAGTCTCTGACAGCTGTGTACTGATGTTTGGTTTTGCCTGCTACAGCTGTGGAGTGGAATGTCATGGCCAGCTCTTCGGACAGTGAAGATGACAGTTTCATGGCTGTGGACCAAGAGGAAGCTGCGCCGGAAGGGACAATGGAGCAAGATGAGAACGCCCAGCCAGGACTGGAAGCCGAGGAGGAGCCTCGACACAACAGGTCTATGTCAGAGCTGCCGGAAGAAGTGTTGGAGTATATCTTGTCCTTCCTCTCGCCCTACCAGGAACACAAGACTGCAGCCCTCGTCTGCAAACAGTGGTATCGACTTATCAAAGG